GGGGGAGAGGCCCCACCCCCTGGATTCGAGTCTTTGGGTCCTATTAACGGTTTATTAATTTGAAATTTTTAACATACTATTTATTTCGACATAACTTTCTCGATGATATACCTAAACGAGGAAGAAGAAGAAGAAGAAGAAGAAGAAGAAGAAAAAAAAATGAACATGAGAAGAAATTTCTTTCTTTACGGTGTTGCGGTCAAATTTGGATGAGCAGCGTTAAAACGTAGGACCCCATACCCCCTCCCCTCCCCTCCCCTTCACCATCCTCCGTATATCATCAGATAGGTTTCCATTTAGGAATCATTATAACCGTCAGAATAGGTTTGTTATAATAATTTAATTGGAATGAATTTATTTTATCGAGAATGAATCACTGATTTCAACTTATGGAAAAATTCAGTGTCACAAAATGTTTGTCCATTAATAATTGTGAAACTACTGAACCAATTTTAATGAAATTTTGTTTTATTATGTGTAATTTTGTTCAACTTAGAATATAGGATAGTTTTTATTGCGATTATTTGTTATTTTTTTATTGCTAATTTAAGTATTTCTTATATTTAGAGATTATCTAGGTCTACTAATTACTCTAAATTTTCAATAGATGGTGTTGCATTACGATCTCAATCATTTCACATTTTTTTTTTTCAGATTTAAATATGACATAACCTAATCATACTTTTTATATTTTTTTTTATTATATATTATTATTATTATTTTCTAATTGTATTATTATGTGTGTTGTTATAATTTACTAAGTAATTTGGAATTATATTATAAATCAACATAATTACTTCAAAAGTTAAAATAGTTTTTGTATTGAACATGAAGTTAAAGATAACAGAATGAAAAATTTGAATAATAATAATAATAATAATAATAATAATAATAATAATAATAATAATAAGAAAAAGTTCTTACCAACTACGACAACATGACCAAATACTTGATCATTGGCAACGTGAGAACAGTTCCATCGGTGATGCCTAAATTGATGTCGGCATTCACGAAGACCCAATTCAGCACCCTCCCCAACGGCAGGCATAGCGTGTGGGGCCTTTTTACACTGTTCTCGTTGACTTTTAGCCAATCCCGGAATACGTCCGCAAACGGCAGCTCCTACTACCACTGCACCGACAACCCTTTAAACAAATCAATTATCATTTATAGAAAATTTCTTTTGTATTAGTATTATTAATTCTTTTTTTTGCAACAAATAAATTAATACAAAATATGTTTACATTTAGATTTATTTATTTAAATGTAGTATTTTATTTTGTGTAAATAAGTTTACTATGACGTCCGGTGGCTTCACATTGGTGCCATGCGAAAACTATCGAGCAAGCGCAATATATATATATATAATAATAATATATAATAATATAAATACTAATGTTAATATTAATATTAAAATTAATATTGTTAATTCTTAATTTTTAATTGATTAAACCTACATATATCTAATATTAATATTCTTATTATTATTATTATTATTTTTAATTATTTTATTATATTTTATTGTTACTTTTTAATCAATTAATTTATTAAACGTATATCAAATATTAATTTCAATTTCTTTTAATTATTTTACTTTTTAATTGATTAAATCAATTATTATAAACGCACGATTTAATAACGAAAATTCTTCTTTTTAAACGTGGTAGCACGCGAAAAATTGTTCCTCTTTTTATTATAATATAAATAACACATAATCTTCCTTTCGTATCAGATTACATTGGACGGTTGACTTGACAGCATATCCGATCGGATTTGAGTAGCGGATAATTCGTTTCACGGCACGTTTCCATGGTTCATCCCAACTCTGACGATGATCCTACGCTCTAATAAACAGAAGATTGACTCACACACACACACACACACACACACACATACACATACACAAACCATTTCTCTCTCTCTCTCTCTCTCTTTCTTTTACTTTTTTCTTCTTCTTTTTTTACCATCTTTCTTCTTTCTCCGAACAGATTTCGTACGTTCTCCGATTTCTTTTGAAACATTCTTCTCTCTCTCTCTCTCTCTCTCTCTCTCTCTTTCTCTCTTCCTCACTCTCTCATTAAATCCGGATTCCTTCAACTATAGCATTCTTTAATCCGGTCAGACAACCTCTTCCTCGATCTCCGACATCAGGCAAATCTTGATTCGACGTGTTGACTCCTACCGATGATCGATACTTGATTCGAGTGATCGATTTTATATGTCGCCGATACATAATCCAAAAAACAAACATAGCTCTCTCTCTCTCTCTCTCTTTCTCTTTTCTTATCTTTCTTCTTTTCGATTGGAAGAGGGGATGGGGTGAGGGTGGGGTGAGGCATGTGTAAACGATCGATAATTTCTCATCGATCTTTAAGATCCCTCGATCATCTTCAACTTCATCTTCAACTTCATCTTCAACTTCCTTCTTCAACTTCATCTTCTTTTCTTTCTTCAACTTCATCATCATCTTCATCTTCTTCATTTTCATCTTCATATGTAAACAATGGATGATTTTTTATTGATCTTTAAGATCCCATGATCATCTTTATCTTCATCTTCATCTTCATTTTCTTTTTTTTCTTCAACTTTATCTTCAACTTTATCTTTATCTTCTTCATCTTCAACTTCATCTTCTTTATATGTAAACAATGGATGATTTTTCATCGATCTTTAAGATCCCTCGATCATCTTCATCTTCATCTTCATCTTCATGTTCTTCATTTTTTTCTTCATCTTCATATTTTTTCTTTAGTTTCATCTTCATCATTGAATTCTTTTTATTTTGACCCATTTAGTCGATAAAATATCGAATCGAAAATAACCCGAGGGTGTTTTATCGTTCCCCCCTCCCTATTTAGGTTTGAAAGTTAGAGAAAGATGGGGTTAAGTGTGTTGAGGTGAGGTGTGGTAGGATGGGGGAGAAAAGTAGCAGATCATCCAATAGAGCGGGGGAGGTGTAGGCAGGTTGAATTTCTGAGAAGCATGAAATTGCGACGATTACGGTCATCCCCGAGGCACTGGCTATTTGCATTGGAATGCGTGCTGCTGCGATCATGCTCGGTGGCCGAAACTTAAAATATATACACCTCCCTTCCCTTCTCTTCCATTTCCCCATCTTCATCGTCACAAAGACGATCTATATACATGGTGTCTCTTATAAATCTTTTTCTATTAGTTTATTCTTTATTCTTTGATTTTTATTTGTATTTTTATCAATTGAGAGATATATTGAAAATCATTGCAATTATTTATCTTTGATTCCTTCTAAATAAATAATCACACACACACACACACACACATACATACACAAATAGAAAATTATTTTGCATTTTGCATATGCAAATTTTATATAAATATATAATATAATATTTATTTTATAAATATTTTGATATAGTTTTGAAAATTTATATTGGAAATATTAAAAAAAAAAAAAAAAAAAAAAATACAGCACTAACTATTGGTTACACCATAATAATATGCGTAATAATTATAATTTATAAATAATTATTAATTATAATTTTTTTATTGTAATATATTGAATTTTAGTAAATATTCCATTTAACAATTTGTCTTTTTATTCCTAACATTTTTAAATATGTTAGTATATATATATATATATATATATATACATACATATCTTCAACTTCATTTTACTTGGGAATGCATAAATGTGCAATTTATTTTGATGTAAAAGTAAATTGATCGTTTATGGTAGAAATGGTTACACTACTAGATAGATAAATTCTGTTACTATGTATCACGGTAGTTAGAATGATGACGAGGAGAAGGATGAGAAGTTTGAGGAGGAGAAAGGGGTATAGTACTAGACTATAACATAAGGTAGGAAGAAAATAAGGTAAAATCCCTTCTTGACGAGGACTTTGACCGAGAGACGAGCATAAGATGGACGCTATAGAGGTTCGATGGGGAACGATGGGGGACGATTACGGTATAAGCTTGTAAGACGTATGTACAAGAAGCGCATCTACTTCTTTTTATTCTTTTCTTTATTTTTCTTCTTCTTCTTCTTCTTCTTCTTCTTATTTTTCTTCATCTTCTTCTTCTTCTTTCGATGATATCTTCTCTCAGACTTCTATTCGATGGGAGAAGAACGCTACAGGGGGTTCATTTCACTTCTCTTTCCTTCTATTTGTTTCTCTTTCTTTATTTTCCCCATGGAACTTTCTATGTAGCTACATAGGATAACTACGTGTATACATATAACTGTAAATCTCTTCTTCATGGTTGCTTACAAGAGATCAAATCGACACACGAGTATACCACCATAGACAAAATTTTCTCATTTTTATTTTTCTCCTCCCCCCTTTCCTTTTTGTTTTTTTTTTTTTTTTTTTTAACATCCAATAGACAAATTCTTATCCTTTCATCTGCATCTTCTTCTTTTCTTTCTTTTTTTATTTTTCATTTCCTTCTCCTTTACTTTATGTTACTTTTTTCTGGTTCTAATAGGGTGAAAGAATTTTAAGTATAAATAGGTGTTTTTTTCTCTCCCCAACCCCATGGAATTCTCTTAATTTCTTTTCTCGTTTTGTTTATCTGAGTTTTTTTTTTTTATTATAGAAACCCTTTTTCTAGATTCATTTCTATGCAATCTAATTTAATTCAAGTTCAGTCTTATTTAAGAATCTTTTATACTAACAGTTATCTTAACAAGAAAAATGTTGTATTTAAATAATAATTTGTTTTATCAGGAAATTTTATGTTTATGTTTTTTTTATGTTAATCTAATTTAAGTCTAATGTATCATTCTAATCTAATGTTAGTTTAATAACTTATTATCTCTAATTTAAAGTTGTTTATTAGTATGTGACTATCACTTTAGATACATATTCATTTATGATATCTATATTTATCTTATACTTTATTATCTTTATCACTCTCATGTAACATTTCATCAAGATAATATATTGAATGTTATAAATAATAAACTTTTCTCACCAATATCAAACAATTCAGTATTAATAATCTATAATTTTAAGGTTATTTGTAATGAAATATCCAAATTAGAATTTTGTTTAACATGAAACTTAATTGCAAACATTATGTCAGTATTACTTACTATTTATTTAGATCTAATCCAAGTTTCATATTTTATCTGATTTAATACAAACTCAAATATTATTTATTATCATTACTTCCAAGTTAAAATCCCATTCATATTAATTTATGATAT